CGCCGCGGGCCTGGCTGTGCCGGGCGGGCCGGGGCTGGGGAGCGCCCCCCTCCCTCCCGTACCACGAGAAGGCGACGGCTTGAAGGAAATGGTTAAAAGATCGTAATTCTTATACTGGAAGCAAAAGTATCTCTGAAATCTCTCGCCTCGGCGACTACTTGCTCTCTGTTTATAGCGCGGCCCGCCCCTCTGCCAAGGAATACTGCGGCGGTTGTTGATAGCTGGACGTGGATGACAAACCCGCACAGGCTGCAAGTGTGCTTTGGATGACTAGCATTTGTGGGTCCATTAAAATGGTGATGTGAACTTTTCTACCTCGCGCTGTTTAATGTAGTAAACATGCTCGATGTTGAAAATTTACTGTGAGTCACACTTAGAAAGACTTTAAAAGTGGAGGAGTCTCGGTTCAGATTATAGCTCTTTCTGTGCAGAGGTCAAGAACTCGGTAATACTGCAATGCAGGCCAAAACAAACTCTATATGATCTACTACTGGTTTCCTTTTAAGTTCCCTTTTTGCTCAGCGTTGACTTCCTTTTATTCCACTCCAACTTACATTAATCCCCGTTGTAGAAATGTTCCCCCCCTTCCTCTCGCTTCTCTTTAAAAGCATCTCTGTAATGAAAATAAGTTATTTTTAGTGTCGTCTTTGTGGCTGTTTGGAGGGCCAAGGATTCAGATTGGAATCAGTGCAGGCGTGTCCCCGGAGACCCCGCTTTCCTTCTCATCATGCAAACCTCATCCGAGATTTTGAGAGGAGCTGTGAATTCCGTGCGACCATCTCACGGCACTGTCCATGATAAACCATGGCGGGGCCTACCCGGGGTTAGGGATGGCCTGTTCTCTGTCACATCTCAGATGCGAGATGTTTAATCCTGTGTCGATGCCCGGTGGCCCCCGGGCAAAGGGCGGCCTGCGCAGCCATTCCTGCCTCCGGGCTTGCCGGGGCACGGAGCCCAGAGCCCGGCTGTGCCCCCGGCCCCGGGGCCGCCTCCGTGCGATTGGGCCAAAGCCCGGGCGATCCCGGGTCTTTCGAGATGTAAAACCTCGCGGGGTCGTGGGCTCAGCATCTCCGCAGGAGAGAAATTTCTCCCCCTGGCCGCTGCCGGCAGCAGAGGTCACACAGAGCCCTCTCTCTGCAGCCGGTGTGAGGCGTGGGGGTGCCCCTCCGTGGGCACCCCGCTGCTGGGGCATAGCTCACCCGTGGCGTGCCGAGACGGCCACACATCCCACAGGAATCCGCTCTCACAGCCTCCAGCCACACCTCTCCTCCCCAGGTCACGCAGTGAAACGCGTCCCCGCTCGGCTCCCGCGCAGGGGGGTGGCCAGGGCTGGTGTGGGGTCCGAGCCCAGCTGGCGTGGGGTGTGAGCCCGGCTGGCATGGGGTCCGAGCCCGGCTGGCGTGGGGTGCAGAGCTGGGCTGGTGTGGGGTCCGAGCCCGGATGGCGTGGGGTGCAGAGCTGGGCTGGCGTGGGGGCTGAGCCCGGCTGGCGTGGGGTCCGAGCCCC